ATAGATAGATAGATAGATAGATAGATAGATAGATAGATAGATAGATATCCTGTCACTCCATTCTTGTGTTTCTTATGTTCACTTAGATACTTCTTGAGCACTGAAGATGGCCCGAAGCGACGCCATCTCTACAGGTAAGGACTTTACTTAAGGTGGCTATAGCTCCAGTTTTTGTTTTGATAGTGAAAAGCAGCTTTATTGCTAACCCTGGTCTTCTCTGCATTCACAGTGCGGACACGTTTGGATCATTCAACCGCCGCTGTCTGTCTTGCGGCCTCTCCGAGAGCTGTGGCCACGTCAGTGGTTCCTTCAGCCACAACATGAGCTACTTCCTGCTCAAGTGCCAAGGTGGTTTACATGACAGAACGGAGCTTTTTTTGGTTTTTGCTTTGTTTTTTTCTTCACTTCTGAGATGTAAAAAATGCACGTGTGAGCCTTTCACATGCACAAGCAAACAGTATTTTTTTTTCCATAATACTTCAGTAAATCTTTGATGCTGCAATGTTAAATATCACAAACCATGTTTAAAAGGTATGGGAGGAGAACCAGAATAAAATTAAGTAAACTAAACTGGAAGCATCTTAACAGAGAACAGGTTATATTCCACATCACTGCAAAGTGTCCCAACACAAACATCTGGACTGGGATGTAGCCACTTTGTTGGTGCTTTGTTTAAAATGTTTAATGAATTCTCCTAAGTCGCATTTTTGACTGAGTGCAAAGACAAGCGACCGAGTGCCTGAGAAAACTTTGATCCATATATGCTGTCTTGGGCAGAAAAATACCAAAGAACAGGCCGAGCACTTCTCGAGATCAGACAAATATCAAAGTCAAAGCGGCCTTTGTCATCCTTGAAGATTTGAGGGCTGAAGCTTTAATATTTAATCACACATTGCTCGCTTTTGGGACAATCACCCCTGAATCTCACCGAGAGATCATCACCGCTCGGAGATCAATCAGAGAGTGACCAGAACGATGACATGAAGCCTTTTCTGCTGACCCCACACTCATGGTTTTGTAGCTCATGTATTTTTAATGCTGTTCTCCTTCACCACCCGCCTGTGATCATTGAGGATGAGGTTATGATATCATTGCCACGAGCGGGAGGGAGAAGAGGAGGGAGGACCCTTTCCATCAAATACAGACACAGTGTTCCTGTGTTGCATTCTCAATTTTCTAAGTGCATCGATCAGCTCTTGGTCTGTCCTTCCCTCCACTCTGCAGCCTCCGCTTGTGGCCCGGATATGGAAAAAGCTATCCCAGCTATTGCATTACATAAATCCAATAAGCAAAGATTGCCTGTGTCTGGCACACAGGAGGTCTAATGTTTTTTCTTTATGTTCTTAACTCGATGATTAATGTAAAAGCTGTTCTCTCCACGCACAAAAACGACATTTACACATGCAGCGCTCTGTCACAATTTCAGATTTAAAAATCATTAAAAAGAGAGTCTGAAAGAGAGGTCACGATCCAAAATCAAAGCACACGCGCACATGACCCTTTCTTTCTCTCTCCAGGGCCGGACATTCCCTTCGTGGCTGTTTACAAGACGCAGAGAGACGCTGAAAGTGAGACTCAAGACAGAGAAAGTGAGTATTTCCACCGGCCGAAACCCGAATCTGCACGGATGCTGACTTTGAGGGCAGTAGCATAATGGCTCCATTTAAAATCACCTTGTCAAAGGAGGGCAGGAGTTTCTGCATTGCAGCGCAGAGTGACCCCCCTGTGTACCCGCTCATTGTTCGCCTGCAGGCCAGGCCTGGCACGATGACGGTAATCACATTACACCTTCCAATGAAGGTTACATTATGAGCAGCCCGACAGCACGCTGTAACTCAGTTGTGTGCATCTCAGTCTTTGTCATCCTTAAGTAATACGATTAGCCTGTCCTGATTATGTGAAAAGACTGCCTGTAAATGCTGAGTGTTACTAAATGTATCAACCTGTTAAACGGTGTTCTTAAAGAAATCAGATTACAGCGTTTAAAAAAGGTCTGGTGCTCATCAAGTGTGCGGGGGGGGGGGTCACAGCTTTGCAAAGCGTGCAACTCATGAAAAAGGCTGAGCCTGAGCTAAATGTTCAGCATGCCAATGTGTAATATTTATGATGCCATTAGCCTCTACATATGTAGTCACAAAAAGTGAAGTACCGCAACATTTCTGGATTGAATGCAACACGAGCGGGAGAACAAAATTTAACTGAAAAGTCCATTACGAGATTTCATGGCAGTCCATCAAGTAACGCCTGAGCTCGAGCAGCAGTGGAGACAAGGTCATATCAGAATTCATCTATGCACACACACTGAAACACGCTGATTGAGACTTGCAGCTGCAGTCCATGATCCAGACAGAGCTCTTCCTCATCGCTCCGAAGGCTTAATTGAGTTTTCCTCCATCTGCAGGGCAGCTTTTCCTGAATTTCTAAGCATGAGCAGCTGTGCAAACCGTGATGTTGATTTCCCTGCTGGATTCCGCCTTTTGACCATTCACACACTCCGGCTCTACCGTACGCGGTTCGCTGCGGTCACCTTGACCCCGCTGTTTGGGGTGGCAAGTGCTGATAAGCGGATGTCGGACAAAGCAGGTGCAGCTGGTTCTCTGATCAGTGAGCAGGTCTTTCGGGAAATGAAGCCTCCCTAAAGACAGAGCCCAGGTCACATTCCGAGCAAAGGAAACATGTGTTTCAGTCTGTTTGTTTTTTTTCTTTGCTGCCGCGCACATTTCGGTTGTAACGGCACGGGTTTTAATGCAGATTATTGACTTAGTTTTAAATTCCTTGCAGGTTTTCAGTCATTTTTCTTGTCTTGGTTTTCCAGAAGCAAAACATGTGTCTAATTCAGTTCATGATGAACTAATAAAACTAAATCCAGTATTGTTCCAGCTGTTTATTTAAACTGTAAACTGGGACTCATGGGTCTCCTTATATGACATCTGCAGGTATTTCAGAAGTATATAAACTGGAGAGCAATGAAAACCTGAGACTGACTCTGGACTCCATGCAGATGCCCACGGCGGAGTACAAAGAGATCAACGTGGATGACTACAGTATGTTTCAGATTCTCCAGGAAAACTGAACAGGAAGATGTTTAATAATCTATATTGTTAGTGTTGATGCAGTCAAGTAACTCAGGTTCCAGTTTGCTGATAGAAAATATGGTTTAAATCATTTCTACATTGAGTTTAGGAGGTCTGATTTGATTGATTAGGCTCCTTTTAACAGTTTTTTTATTCTGTATTGCAGCCCTGTCCATGCAGATCCTGAAACCTGCCGGCTTCATGGAGACGTCCCACTACCCGCTGCTCCTGTTCATGTATGTTTCTGCACACACTGATGCCAATGCACGTCCACACCTCTGCCCAAGTAACAAGAGGACGCATCCGTCCTGAGCAGAGCAGTCATTACGTTATTTTAGTCTGACTCTGCTCCAGCTGGATGGAAACAGTATGTCCTCTCCCCTCTTTTGCTCATAAGCATCAGCATCAGTTCTTTAACTGTATTTTACTCTGCAGTTCAGTTATGGACTTCTTAAAATTGCACTCTTCTTCCATATTTGAGAAAAATCCCACCTTAAACGCATCATACCTGTCTTTTCTAACGAAAGCGATCCCTTTGATTTATTCAGTGTCGTTCATTAAACCGAGAAGGAAAAAACCTGCCTTGACACATCTTTAGCAGGTGCTCATTTTGATTCCCGGTGTTCGTCGTGTTTGTGATGCAGTGAAGGGACCCCCGGAGAGCAGACGGTGACGGAGCAGTTCCACATGGACTGGGCCACCGTGCTGGTCAGCAGCTTCGGTGCCATCGTGGTGCGCTGTGACGGGCGAGGCAGCGGCTTCCAGGGAACCAACCTGCTCTACCGGATCCAGAAGAAACTGGGCATGTTCGAGGAGCAGGATCAGAGGGATGCCCTGAAGTATGTGGCCTCATTCCCGCTTCAAGTAACCAGTCTCTTCCTGAATTTGAATTCGTCTACGAAGTTAAAGATATTTAGATGTCAATTTGAACTGGAGGAAAGAGTACCTGTGTATGAATCCGAGCCAAGAATCTGAACTGTTGTTCTCATCAGTCAGTATAGAAATGTTTTTGTTCCTTTTTTTTTTTTTAGTTTCATACTCAAAGAGCCTTACGTGGACAAAACCAGAGTTGGAGCTTACGGACAGGTAAGAAAAGTCTAAAAATGCTAATTGTGAGTCATAAAAACCTAAAAAATAACATTTTAAAAAGGTTTAGCTCTGTCTGAGAACACCACAATGAAACCCCTGCCTCTTTTTTCTTCTTTAATTAATATGAATACCCATTATGTGTTCAAGAAAATCTAGTTATTATTAAAGTAAAGCAAAAGAAGGGTTGAATACAAAGTGAGCAAAATTGATTTATTCTTATTTTTCATGGTATTAAAGTTTTATTTGAGCAACACTATGGATTTGTAACTTTTTGACAGTTTCTTTTTCTGTTTTTAATCAAAAAAGTTAATCTTGACTCCAAATATGAATATAAATGAAATCTCAAACTAATGGTTGAGATTTCAGATGCTTTTGTGCTTCCCTTATGTTTGTGTGTGCACAATAAGAAATAAATACCCCTTTTAAATAGCTGCCTGAGAATTATAACGCCATATGTTAGCCTTTGTAGATAAAGATAATGTGGATTTAATATACGAAAAGGAAAAACAGTGTTTGATTTAATACAGATGAGCTGTTTGAAGTGTTCGCTTAAAAAAAAGCACCACTCTGCTTAATCCTGGACCAGTCTGGTTGCTTACTTTGTCATATTTTTCTGTGTCTCAGGTGTACGGAGGCTACGTGACCAGCCTGTTGGTCAGCAGCGAGGACTCTCCGGTAAAATGCGGAGCCGTCTTCTCACCCATCACCGACTTTGAATTATACGGTGAGCTGTCATTTTTCTTATTGACCTTTTTTTTTAAAGGCGCACCATTGCCTCGGTTTTCTGCTGGATGTGCACAACAAATGCAGGAGCTCCGCGCAATTATTCACGTTCAACCAAGTTGTCAGAATGTGCTCAAAGGGAAAAAAAAAGAGAGACAGATTGCAGATGTAGCACCTTTACCCCTCCAGCTGGGAGTTCTCTCAGTGACAATACTGTATGTGCCTGTACCCTGTGAGGGGAAATAATACCCATCAGTGCAATGATGCAGATACACCGGCAAGCCAATCATGCACCACCCTCACCTTTGCTACCAGAGGAATATAATCTGTGCAGTGTAAGGTTGTTTTGCATCGGGAACATGATGGTGGGAGAGACACGGACAGCCAGGCAGAGCTGATTTAGCTGTTGGCACACGGAAAAACTGCAAATTAAGGGGCTAGGCTGGGCGTCACAGTGTGACTGGTTTCCAATCTGTCTGATTTGCCAGAGGGGGTGTGAGAGCTAGTGTGACACTGTACGTTTCGAATTGCAAATGAGGAGCCTCCGAGTCTGTTTGAGTACGAGGAGGACACAAACAAAAATGACGCATCAGCACTGTGTTTAACAGGAAGTTGTGTCGGACGATGTTTTTTTATGAAATCTCCTCTATCTCTGTCTAGCCTCCGCTTTTTCAGAGAGGTACCTAGGACAACCCAAGCCCGACTCAAGGGCATACACGGTAAGACTTTTAAAGATGTTTACATTGAGCCTCTTCTTGACACAGATTCTAAGGGTTTTTATTGGGTTTGATTTGCCTTTCAGATGGCAAATTTGGCTCACAGAGCATCTCAATTCATGGATAAGAAGTTCCTCATCGTGCATCCGACAGCTGACGGTGGGTGACAAATTGCTGCACCCTAATAGATCAATTCTGATATAATTGAATGATTAAATCAGTATAATGATGACAATATGATGTTTTTGCATTTGTTTTCAACAGAAAAAGTCCATTTCCAGCATACTGCAAAGTTCATCTCGCAGCTCATTAGTGAAAATGCCAACTACAGCTTACAGGTACAGCGACTTTTTCTCTCCGTGGCCCAAAACAGCTGCACATCCAGTTTCCCGGCTGCCCGCTTTTCCACGCTCGATTCTCTTCCAGCCTTCAGCAGCATTGTGATCCCTGAGGTGGTCCCATAGCGGCTCAGAGGATTAGGCCCTCACAATGCTTTCAATTCATATAATGAGATTATAATAAACTGCCTGGGGCGGCCTGCGTTAACACCAGGACTAATCCTTTTGCCATACATTGTAGTGCAGCTGAAGGTTTATCACAGCTCATTACTGACCAATAGATATGTTACTGTGTATTAGACTGCTGTCCCCATTCAGACAGTGCAAGTTTACTCAGTTATTTGATCTCAATCAAAGATGCATCTTCCATCACAGCACGTTAGGACAGACCGTGGAACAGAAAAGGGCTTTTTAATACACGGAAAACTTACAGATCACATGTAGACAGCTTACAAACAGTAGTTTATTTTGCCTTTAAACCTGCAGTGCTGCAGCTTTTGTGGGGAGAAAGGTGCATCTTTGTCCAATCCCAACTCTTTTCTTCCCTTCTTCGTGTCCCAGATTTACCCAGATGAAGGCCACTTCCTTCACAGTGAAGCAACGAGGCTGCACCGCAGCCAGTCGCTGGTGAATTTCTTCGAGGAGTGCTTCAGGCTACCGGAAAGAGTGTTTGAGGAAGTTCTGGAAGAGGATCTTGAAGATGAGGGTTAGACTCCCCCCCGACAGATGCGCCCCACATCTTCCCTACCCATTTTGGTCATCTGCCTACTTTACATCACGTTACTGCTCTCAAGCACAACACCGGTGTCCATAATATGCAAAGATCATGTTCTGTGTGTTTCGGTTTTTACTCGCTTTCGGCCGCGACGTCCTCCGAGGGGAAACGACGGGGTCCGCGTTCCATCTGTCGTCCCTCCTTCATCCTCTACCCCGAAGCCCTCCGGAAAGAGCTGAAATAGACTGAGGAACCGATGTGTGTTTTGGATTATACGGACAGGAAGCCGTCTCCTTCTCTAGCAGGACGGACCTGCTTCTCCAAAGCGGTGGAGATAAAAAAGAACCAGCTCTCACACAGACTTCAGAGCTGTGAGGAGAGGGCGCGCCAAAAGCACATACCTTTGGGCTGGTATACGAATGAAAGACCCCCTGATGAAGACACTGACCGGCAGTGTTCATAACGGGTGTCTGGAAAAGTGCGAACACAGGAGATGTTAACTATTTTTAAAGTTGTGATGAACTCTTCATGTTGGACTGTGGCTGTCTGTTGCTCTAACCGTCTGTAAAATAGCACACAAGCATTCACTCTGCTATTGTCAACCTCTTCTTTTGGTGATGATTTGGTGTCATCATAGTTTCATTTGATGTATTTATGTGACGCTGAAAGAAATCCGAGTCGCTGAATGCTTCTCGGAGGAAAAAAAACGGAAGCCACGGGGTTTTCATAGTAAATATGAGACAGATTTATTGTCTCATTCTGTTTTTTTTTTCTACGAACACCTTCCATAAAACAACACTTTCCCTTATTTCTCACTTTTCTTTGGTCACTGTGCCTTACTTTTAAAACACCCACCTGGCTGCATTTAGCATGTATAAAAATAACTAAAGAACAATCATGGTCAAAATCGTTCCTTAATGACTTTATCAAGATTGTGAGTTAGTAATCTCATTGACACCTTAAAGCTGAAAATGACCTGATAACTTTAAGTGTTATCTAAGCTGTTAGGCTTTATTTGAGCAGCTGCTGGCTGGAGCAGAGAAACGGAAATCTATTACCCTGATTTTAACAACCCTAAACACTGACGCCTCCTCTCCACAAATAGTTTTTTCGAGGCCTGAGAAGCTGAATGATGGCTTGTGCAGCTGAAAAGACTGCATTGTTGACCACAGACTTCACTAAATGACTTTCCTCTGTGAGATGTCCTGAGAATTACTGGGTGAGACAAGTGATACTACTATCATTAGTAGTTTTTTGCAAAAATCACCAATATTCACACATGAAAACAGACAAAATTCTCTAAATAGGATTGATCGCAGTTAAGTTATTTTCTAGTTTCCAGGTTTTTAGCAAATGCAATGCTCGACATCTTACAGAAACATCTGTTTCATCCTTTTTTTTGGGGGGGTGGTGGCAGATTTAGACCAAACTAAACAAAAGCAAACCAGACTTTAAGGATAATCTGACAAAAAGACACTTCATGTGTTCTCACAGTCCATATCCGCCTTGACAACTGAGAGCTCATTCTGTCAACATCTTACTGGAGTCAAAATGTCCCTAAACCCTCTAATGTCGAACTAAAAATCCAAAAACAGTGTCCAAATTGCAGCGTTTGAGTTGTTTTAGAAGAAGCCGGCTTTGCTCCTTTCGTCTTTATAAAATAAAAAGAATACCACATTAAACGGGTGGCATTTAAAACAGAAACTGGGTGAGTTTCCTCCCACATTTTATCCGAAAACTTGGATCTGGTCTGCTCGCATCAGCCTGCAGACCTGTGAACAGATCGCATCCGGATGAACAGAGGAAGCCATTGGGAGCAGCCGTGTTAGCTAACAGAAGTGAGTTCCTGAGGCACAGCTTTAATCCATTTCTTTTAATTTGTATTGCCATTTGTGTTGCGCACCAGTGCATGTTCAGAGGTACCTGACAGTTTGAGTTTGCCGTGGTCATTTTTGACATCTTGAATGTTTTTACTGGACTGCATAAATGACATTTCCAGCAGTGTTGTGATTGAGATCCCAGTCCCGTAAGCTCGATGTGTAAATGTTATTCGAATCATTTAATTCTAAAAAGATAATGTTACCTGAGTGTTATTTGTGCATAAAGCATTTTGGAAGTTACATTTGATTGTTAATTTCAGTTCTCCTGTTGCTGTCCTTGAATTACGTTAAAACGTGGACTTTCTAAAAGCCAGTGGAAATGACGCATTCATTTCATTGGCTGAGGGTCTTTTTAAGATGTTCAACTTTGTTATCCAAAGCATAGAAGGAGATTAACGGCAGATTGTGGCATGAAAGTAAATGTTAGAATAAAAAGAAAGTAGATATTTTATCAGCCTTCAACCTCTTTTGACATGTTTTGCATTCTTTGTTATTGTGTGTGTCCTTTCAATAGCAATTTAAGTGTTTGGCAGCAAAAGCTGAAAAATGTTACACACAAAAAAAGAAGAATAGAAATTGCTAATGGAAATGGTGGAGTGACACATTTGCAATCAATCTGAAAATCTTCACACCATCTGCAGAAAACACCTCAAACCAGCAGCATTTTATTTCAGCCCATATCAAGTGCAAATGGATTCTGTTTCCAGTACATGTAGTCATTTACAGTCACAATCAAAGTGTCTAACAAGAAAAAGAGACATCAGAATAAATAGATTTGCTCAAATGCACCCTTGGTCCCGGTGTAAACAGGACTGTGATTGTAAATCAGAGCTTTGTTCTCCTCCTCCACAGATTCAAACCTATGAAAGCTCTTCCTGGCTGTGGAGAAACAGTCACAGATTAGCACATCGGACAGGATTTGAGTCGCTCCGACCGTCCCGAAACTTGACATGTTTTAATACCTTCACTGACGAAGAATTCTGCCATGTAGAAGGTTGCCTTCACTGCAGCTGGAGAGTGAGGAATATAAGGCCTCGTCCACTCGAACGCGTTCTTCTCTGGATGCCACTGCGTCCCATAAATGGGATAATCATACGCTGTAGAGAAGAGAGGAAGGGGGTTGCCCTCGTCAAAACCTTTCCTATGACACAGACTCACTGCTTCAACAAGGTCCAACTTTGTTTTTGACCATTTACCTTCAAAGGTGGACACAAACTCCACGGTTCCGTCAGTGTTCGTAGAGAGGACTTTGTAAAAGTTCTTCAGGTCCTCGTTCGTGTTGTAGGTCTGGAGAAGAGCAGAGCTTCATCAGGTTAGGGTTGCCGATTGGCCGCCTGGCGAGCGACGCCCCAGGTCCCGGGACAACCGACCTACCCGCGTGGCCAAACTCCACTGGTGGGAGTTTTCTGTCAGAGGCTCAGAAGCCAGAGCTGCCATGAGTTCGGGAGGGAAGCCTTTGAACATCCTGCTGCCCTTTGCATCTGGAGAGGGAACACACCACGGTCATCACTCTCAGCCATCCCACTGACCTCACACACATTTGAAAACAAATGAAAAGTCATCTTCTAAGTGTCGTAATCCCCCCCGTAATCTGAGTTTGGTTTGGTCTTAACCTGATATTTAAAGACTGTTAACTCATTGGCTGCCAAAGACGTCTATAGACGTCAATTCAAATACAACCGTTGACTGCCAATGACGTCTATAGACGTCTTTTATGATTTTCAACGAGAGTGGCTTGGGGGACGATCTGCTAAAGCTTGTCCGTAAATATCAGGCTTCTAGACAGAGTATGTAAGAACAAATTGACCCTCTAGGTGGCAGTGCCACTGTTGATGGGAGGTTATCATAGATTGTAGGCAAACAAGAAAAAGGCAACATGTTCGCTATGAGAGAACATGCCGCCGGTGAGACGCAAGTCGAGGAAGAACGGAATAAGGTAGAAACAAAAATATTTTCCTGATGAAAGAAGAGAGTCTACTCTTTCTTTTGGTGTGTTCGGTGTTTACATAGTCATAGCACAAACTATTCTGTGGCTATTGAAAAATCAGTCAAAATGCTCAAAAAACTCTGGCAGTATGGGACTCTGTTCTCAAAATGGCTGGCAGTCAATGAGTTAAGGGGAGTCTGGTTCCTTAAAGGGGCGGTTTTCAGAGCTCACACCTTCAGTGAAGTTCAGAGGCAGCGCCACGCCGCTGGTGTTGGTGTGCGACAGCGAAAACTTCCCACTGGTCAAATACACCAGCTGCTCAAATCCCAGACAGGTGCCCCACACGGGGAAGTGGTCGCCCCTCTTGTTGGCCTGAGACATCACACACAGTCTCCGTTATCACCACACAGACACGGGGGGGGGGGCTACCAGCACCCAGCTCCAAGCTTCTTCACCTCGATAGCCAGATTGTAAAAGATTTTGGCTGCCCTTTGGTAACCCGACGAGATGATGCTGACGCCCCCACCCGGGTACAGGATCCTGGAGAAAACAAAACACAGAGGCCATAGGTCATAGGTCATAGGAGGTAAAGGAGAGAGGTGGTGATTTGATCCTGTGGGTCTGTTTTTTCATTGAGAAATCTGGATTTATACAAACATAAATAAATAAATGCATTTAAAAATTAAAAATGAAGAGATAGGACACACTGTGTGTTTTTTACTGGTAATTTGTAACAAAGTGTCTAAAAAGAGTCGTCTTATATATGTGGATATTTAATTAGTATTGAATAAAGTATCTATTCCATATGGTAAGTGTTCTGGGGGAAGTCTCATTACTTTATAATGGTGCAAAAGAAGCCAGTGTCCAAAGAGAAAACTTCTGAAGTATGGAAGGAAATACGAGACTCAAACTATTCAATAAATCAAATCTCTAAAGTTTCAAAGAGATGCTTGACCACAGTGTTTATTACCCATTAATGGAGTTGAACAGCTTCGTGTAGTCTTCCAAAGTCTGGTTAATCCTGTGCAAACGAAAGCAGAGGTTATTGTGGCTTGGCTCTGACGCACGGTGTTACAACAATCCTGTTAGATAACAAGTGCCTCACATGACGGGCACCACCCGGGCTCCAGCTGCCTCCACAAACTTCACGTAAGAGGCTGCAATGTAGGCCGACTGGTTCGGTTTGGGCTCGTAGACCTCCTGAGCCAGAACCCCTAAGAGGAGCGCAACAGTGGTTTTGATTTGCGCGTCAAAGCTGCCGTAAATAAGATGCGTAAAACTCACCAATGACGGGCCTGTCGTTTCTGTCAGCAGACACACACCAGGGCAGGCCCCACAGGAGAACCGCACACAGAATAAAGGACGACATTGTTGTTGGAGTGCAACGCAACGCGGAATAGACGGAAAACAGCTGTTTCCGGAAGAGCCTTTTCACAATTAAAGCCCCCGTTTCCCTTTAAGGTTGACATTAATTCTCGGATTTTTTTTAGGAAATGGATAAGCGTCATTCGTGCGGCATAACACAGAGAAAACGCTTATTTAAACGCTGGTGCAAGAGAATCAAACCCAGGAAATGCGATCATAGTTGGCATTTTTCTGCTACTTCTTAGAATAGAAACATAATGAGCTTCTCTTATGTATTTGTCTACACACACTAGTTTCTCATCAATGCGTGACATTTTTATGTTAATGCATAAAAAAAAAAAATCAAATGACTGGTTTCAGACACACTGATGTGAATAACCCTAACACTGACCTTTACCCTGACCATTATACTCTGACACAGTAACAAGAATTAACATTAAACATAATCATACACGATTTACCCATAGAAGAAATATGTTTTTTTTATCCTGTTCTTGCCCCAGCAGCACTTCAAACACCAAGCTTCCAAGTTTCAGATATCTTTTTGGTTTAATTCTGCATTTTTATGCCCAACATGTTCTATCAGGTTGAATAAAAGGTACCCATGACATGATCTATTTATAAAAGGGATCAAAGCTAAAGTATTAATGAAGGATTACTATATGAATATCTCTGCAACCTGAAGTGGCCAAGCATGTTTACAAATCTTTATTTGTTTTTTCCCCTCTAAAGTAAAACGTGCACAGATAATGTTTTATCATTAGAAACATATACCAGGAGTTTTAAAGTTTGGAACTACAGCACACATCAGCATGAAAACAAAAAGTATGAGAACACATTCTAGTTTACATTCATCTGCTTTACTGACTGTAACCGTCACAAGCAGTCTGGTTTGAGACTTTAAGTCTGTTTACATCCACACCGATAGCAGTCAACTTGTCATGCAGCTGGTTAATGATGTCATCAGTTAGAGCCCGGCTGCGAGCCAGAATCCACGCAAAGTCAATGTAAAAGAGTCCAAAGTAGTCACTGCAGGAGTAAACCAAAGCGTAAGACTGGTAATCTGTGGAGACAACCATGTAGGGAGCATCTGGAACTCCTGGATAAAACCAAAAAGAACCATGCAAAGTGGCTTATTAGGAGCTTGTATTTAGCCGTGACAATACAGCCCACTTTCAGAGACACACTTCTCACACCTTTAAAGAAGCTGACACCCAGATTGGCTGGTTGTGAAGGATCTATCACTCTGGCGGTTCCCTGAATGGATGCAACAGTTCCGTCGGACCTGTTTGAAAAGGAGCAGAACCACTCAAATCCACACTTGAAGGGGGTGCTTGAAACAATTGGCTCAAACAAAGTGTCAGGGCTGTTAAACTCACAAAATATTCTCATTTCGAACGCTGACTGTTCCATCTGAGAGAAGACTGTATGTGGCTTGGGCACATCTTCCTGTTTGGAACCAAGCTGGAAGCTTCTCTATTTCATACCAGGTGCCCATGTACTGGATCAGAGCAGAACAGACCGTTTAAATCATTAGTTTTTTAAACAAGCAGCTAAACTTTATTGACATCTCTGAATACCCAGAAGTCGATCAAAAGGACAAAAACGCTTGAGATGAGTCACACGGGATGCTGATTCACCTTTGCAGCATTAAAGTCCTCTTGGACTGTTGACTCAGGGCATCTGCCCAGGTGGTAGGACTGACCTTTAGCTGAGGCTGCGGTCAGGAGGAGAACACCCAGGAGCTTTATATCGAAGGGGAAAAACACTGATTCAATTCAATTTTGGATAAAACAAAATCAAGACAGCAAACAAATGTTGTCAGAGAAAAAGAAGAAGCGTAAAGTACCTGTAATGTCGTCATGTCTACTCACATACAGCTGGTAAGTCAGGGCTGCCCGCCACGTCCTCCTAACACTCTGCAGACCTTTGGAATGACTCCTGTTTGAAGAGCTGTTTGCGGGGGAGTGTTTGTGCAGCCCACACAGACAAATGTCAACATAGGCATGCAGAATCCTAGGCACGATGAAACACAAAGAGACGGGAAAGCACCTACAGAAACAAGGCTCAGTGGAGAAATGAACCCCCACTTAGAGATAAATGACTTTCCGCAGTTAGAATTATTTTCAGGGAATATTCCCTTTGCAGAGCGTTTGTATGGAATGGCTGCAGATATACTGTATAGAGAGCTACCTCCACTATTTCCTTGTAGTCATTTCATGAAATTCCTCAAATAAACTAAAGCTTTTTTTTTCAATCCTGGTCCTCAGGTCACACTGGCCTGGATGTTTTCCAAGTTTCCCTCCTCCAGCGCACCTGATTCAAATGAATAAGTCCTCGTCAGGCTTCTGCAGAGCTTGAAGAGCAAAAGTAGCAACCCCATTTATTTGAGTCAGGCGTGCTGGAGCAGAGAGACCTGAAAAACATGCAGGACAGTGTATCTGGAGGACCAGGGATGGGAAACACTGCTCTGAAGGTGGCATGTGATACAAGGTAAAAGACAACCAGTGAGTCTTTGCTTCATCAGTCTATACTGAACTGAATGATTCTAGAAAAAGTTAATCAGTTAATGTTGACCACCTGTTGATAATTCCATCTCGAGCCACCTTTGTACTGTTAACGTGCAACGTGATTCTTTTGGGACATTTTCTTTTGCACAACAGTGTTTCACAGTTTCCAAAACAGCACTTTCTATGGAAAGCAAAATCTGCTGCTTTGGTATGAGACAAAACATCTGGGCTTAAATAATTTTTATGTTGACTGTAAATCAAAGTATAGCGGCTGAAAAGGCCAGCTGTGAGATTATATATTGCAATGTATTGCAACACTCATTTCCCCTGAAGAGAGGTAAAACTTCACGAACAAGTAACACTTTGCTTCATTGAGGTGATTTCCGATTAATTCAAATTTTCTAAGAAGGATCTGTTTTTCATATCAAGATCAAGTGCTTTGACCCTTTAACACCAAATTTGATACACGCATTTATGAGACATGCATCCAAAAATACATGATTTATTCAGTAAAACAACCAAAACAACAATTTAGTAAAACAACAAAAGCAGTAAAAAAAAAATTCTTTAGCCTTAGTTAGAACTTCTAACAGGACCTGACAGGTATAATCCACTCTTCACAAGGCTATTTTAGCTTTTTAGTGTTTTTGATAACCCAAGTTCTGGATGGCAATCCTTCAAAAAGGCCAAATAAATGCATTCTGACAAAGACAAGTTATGAAAAAAAATCTTTTATTCAACAAAGCACCCACACTTATACAAAACATGCTCTCGCTTTTGTCCTCAGATGCTTTCTTTTTCATTAGAAGAGTGTGTTGTTTGATTTAATGTCACCTTAACACCTGGTCTAATTTGATTTAAACAGTTGTCAACATATGAAAACTTAACTTAAAAAAGGGATCACGTACAAAACTAGGAGGAGGAAGAGGACATTTGACAGAAAAAAAGATAAATTACATTCTTAGATTTAATCATCTGATTTCATGGTATGTGCTGTGACAGTATAAATAAATTGATTTTTTAAAATTAAATAAGCCTATAAAGAAACCTGTTGAGGTGAGACCACCAAGATGTATTAAAAGATAAGACACAAACAAGACTTTCAACAATGCTGATCTAGAAAACTTTAAAAGAAGAAATACAGTGCATCAAAAATTGCTTTGGAGGGATGACCGGCTGCCTGGCCTCCCTTTAGATGGACCGGTAGAAAGATCTGGCCTTAGAAATAGAGAAAATATTTCCTGAAATTCATCAAATTTGATTAGAAAAACTCCCCGGACAACCTGTAAACGAAATAAAGTAGCCCTTCTAAGCCTCTACCACAACTCTTTGGACCGCCTCCCTTCAGGAGCTGCAGATTTCTGCCTCCAGACTCAGTCTCCAGAAGAAGGAGAAATATTTGAATCCCCAACACGCCCGAGTGGCTGCAGAGGAAAAGCCATCTGTGTTACTTTACGCTTGCTTTTGCTCACAGATGCGTTTGCAACTGAAGCCACGACTCGTGATTGTAAAGATGCTGCATGTATAATTTCATTTGCATGCCGTGATTGTGCTTTTTGCGTTACCTCTTAAAAGCAACACACCCACCCCTTTGTGATTTATTCTACATCCAAATATGTGCCAGCAGGTCCAAAATCTTTAAACTGCTCTCCAACACCAAAGGACGTCAACACCTAATCTTAGCTTGACACCAGGAACCAATTCAGGAGTATTTAAGCCTCCTTTATAAGAAAAATGATCAAGGAGGAACGAGGGGACTTCTTTGTAAAAGTAAACCACGAAGTCTGAGGTTTTTAAACCACACGAAATGCTACACAGAGCACCGAACGATGTGTTGAAAACATCCTCAAATGTTTTGCGGGCGTGTCTGAGGGTCGACGGTGGCGTTTGGGATGAGTTAGCGGTTTTTATTGGTCTCGATGCAGAGGATGATGAACTCGTTGGAGCAGCTTCGCGTGTGCTGGCCGAGCAGAAGGCCTGCGCTCAGGTTGGACGACTGGCCCATGACGGACAGGTCATCCGCTCGCCACGTCTCGCAGTGTTTGTCCACCGCTCTCAGACCCCTGCTGGTGGAGCCGTGCCACATGTTCTTCTGAGGCCTGACAAAGAAGACGGATGGAAAACATCACAGGCGTTAACATAACCAAACAGAAAGGGACAAAGGAATAAGCAGTCAACATAGTTTACAGACCAGAAAGGGTCCGCCAAAATGTCCCGGCCATCAAAGGAGTAGATGGGGATCCTGGGACTGAATACACCCCCGTTCCCGCTGAAAATCGACTGCCAGTTCCGGAACATCACATCTCCCTAAGCGAACCAATAAGAGGGCGTTAAGCTAGGAGACAGTTTGTTGTTTTTCTGAGGGGAAAAAAAAGAGAGAGGGCTCACCCTGAGGTTGGTCACCGGTAGACTGTCCCGGAAACCGGGATAAACAACATTGGCCAGGTCTTGCTTGTGGGATGAAATGAAGGCGCGGTAGAAGGGACTCAAACCCATCGCTTTAGCCTGCTCATAACACATCCGATCGGCCATGTCCAGCCCCATCATGTCTCCCGAGTGGGGCTGATTCAAGGCCACCAGGGTGAGCTGAAAGAGGGCCAGGAACAGCGTTAAAGAACACATTTAAAACATTTAGTTTGAACTAATGTAAACTCAAAATCACCTCCTAACAAAGACTAAAGTATTGCTCACCCTCGACTTAATTGAAGGAATTCTTTGCATCGTGTCTCCTCTGACGTGATAGGCAACCCGAGGCTGAAAGAACAATGGAACAGATGTTTTAATGTACTACAAGTTCAGCTCAGCACTCCACGATCCTTTAATTTACTCAGTAAAAGGTCATAAAAAGCACACTTAGTACCTCATCTTGTGGTATAATGTTGCTGGAGAGGTAGATGAGACTGCTGAGCTAGAGGAGAGAATAAACAGGACCATATGCTGTTATTTCAGCTCTTTATGCACTAAAAAAAGTTAAATATTGTCAGTGAGTGCAAAAAGTGCCCACTATCGATTGTGTCACGTTAAATAAACAATTGCAATGTCATTCAGTAACTTTCCAACGAAAAACTGAAGTAACACTTCAGTGCACCCAACAATATTACACAAGAAGTCCTTGATTTTTATAAATGGAGGTTTCTGTATGCCGGCAAGTACATCATTTATCATTTTTCTCAAAAAGACAGAACATTTCACCTTCAAAATGCTCCCGGCTGATTCAGAGCCAGCGAGTGTTTCAGAGACAAAAAGAATCTGTCGTTAATTCTTTCAAACGGATTCTTAGATGGAAAAAACATTCACCAATACAGTTTCAACTTTACAGAAACATGCAGTACCTGTATCTCTTTCCATCCCTGGGAAACTTTGAGGAAGAGACTTCCTGATTCTGAGACATAGGCCAGAGTCCCCTCTGCGTCCCTGAGGGTTTGCTGCATCATGCTCTCCCGGTTCGAAAAGGTTTTGACCTGAAAATAGTTGTACTTATTGCTTGATGAGTTTTAGTTTAGGAAGAGATGACCTATGACTGACGCTGACGGGTAATAAATGTAATAAATACGTCATACAGGAGCAAATCAACTTACACCTGCCGAGTTGCTTGAACCTCCCGGAGGTCCGGTTGGTCCTGGAGGTCCAGGGGGCCCCGGAGGGCCAGCAATGGTCAGAGCTGCTGCAACAAAAAGTCCACACCATTCAGCCATCATCATCAGTTCTGCTGCATTTAGCTCATAATCTAAATTTAAATACTACCTGAGCCGTATCTCAATGGCAATCCGAGGGACCCCGGAGGACCCGGAGGTCCAGGTGGACCAGCAGGACCAGGTCTGCCAAGGCCTGGGATGCCAGGTGGGCCTGGTACTCCTGGTTGACCCGGAGGACCGAGCACTGAATCCCCTTTAGGCCCCTGAAACACATCAGGGAAGATTCAGTTAGCTTTTTTCCCCCCATTTTCTTTCAAAAAGACACAAACTCTTAAAACTCAGACTCACCACCAGTCCTGATCTGCCAGGGATACCTGGATGCCCCGCCACCCCCTTTTCCCCCTTCTCCCCTTTGATGCCCTGCTCCCCCGTGAACCCCTATGAGTGGACACAAAGACACACATGAACATGAAAAGAGAATTATTAAAAATTGAAAAGGTTAGATGGCAGATTTTACCTCATGACGCCTTACCCATCCTCCTCTGGGGATAAATCCACCTAGAAAATGAATAAAACGGGGGTTAAAACACATTTCGTACTCACTCCATTGTTTGATCCCTGCAGGGAGCTTGCTTGAAAAGAACTCAGCAAGACTTTTTTTTTTTTTGAAGAACTGTAATGTAATTTTTTTTTTTTTCCTTTTTCTTTTTTGAAGAGTGAAGATTGGTTGACTCACTTGATGGAGCTGGCATCCCCGGAAGGCCCCTCTCCCCTTTTTCTCCTTTTGGTCCTTCTTGGCAGTTACCTGACAGACAAAGAGCCAAACCTGACATCAGCATTTTTTTTTATTAAGCATGGACAGATTAAATTTCCATGAACTTTTGCTTCATACAAATACTGTCTATGCCACGAAACCTAAGAAATGATCAAACAAACCAGCTGTGATCGTTCCATTGGGATTAAGCTGAAATAAATGAGAAAAAATGTTAGAACAATGACAGAATCAGATAAATCAAACCATGATAAGTCCATCAAGATTGTGATCAAAATGCAAATGCAGATGCATGCAGATTTTCTGTGTGTGATTTAACTTCTACCTCAGTTATTTCTTGGCATCGAGCTTTCACCTTTCCACTGCTGACATGCAGCATGCAGGAATATTTTGGAACCACCCTAAAAAACCTCTGAGTCATGAAAAGTTAACATGCTGGTTATTTGTGGAAGTTTGCAAGAAGAGAGTGAAAGGAGTTTTGTAAGGGAGATAGTAAGAAGTGAGTTCATGTTAATGAAGATGGATAATTAAGAAATTAATCAATCAGCGTTTGTAGAGTACTTGTTAGAGAAAACAGATGCATTACGGCATAGCAGACACACTTTAATTATAGTCCCATCCACGTTTGTGTAATAAAAATCTGAGATTAATATCACAAACTAATGAAAAAGTTGGCAAACAGTTTAGGTTATTGTGAGCTTTAGTGGCATTAATGTGGCTTTTCTGGTCAGAAACCTACGGGCATTTTGCAGTGGGGTCTGGGAGGGATGGGGAACACAGTCTTCAGAAACCAGGACAGGATAAATGGAAGCATTTAAAACATGAAACACAGTTTAAAAAAAAAAGTGAAGAATGACCAATGCATAAATGTGTATTTACCCCTTTTGGACAGTTGAATATTCCTGGCCGACCGGGAGGTCCAGGAGGACCAGGAAGTCCCTAATAGGAGCAGAAGAAGAAGTAAGAAGAAAAAGTTTAACGTCACTGCCATCTCTAATAGATTTAAAACCTGTGACAGTGTTTTCATATCATGAAACGGTGTGTTTGACTCACTGGCAGTCCCCGAGCGTCCCCTTTCTCTCCTCTAGGCCCCAACAGCCCTGGACGACCCTACACAGTGACAGAGATGTTCTCTACATCTTTATTCTAAGCATTTAAAAGTAACAACAGGATGTCAGATTACATTTTGTTAAACAGATCACTGACGGTTGTCAGGGAAAGTATATAGTTTGTTAAATCAAAAGCAATAACGGTGAAAAATGTTTACTTGTCTGGTTAAAGGTATAAGACCACCAACTGATACGAACCCAGATTAAAATACAAAACCCCTGAAACACTTTCCACTGGTCCCCATAAATAGTTCTTTGGGCTCTCTTTCAAAGTTTTGTTTGGCCGGCTCCCTTCTCACTTATTTTCAGTCCAGCCCTGGCTGCTGATCACTTTCAGATTTTTGTGTAGTCAGCCATTTCACACTGATGAATCTGCCAAGTATAAGGCAACTAAATCAATCAATGGACCAGCATTGTTTCTGTACATAGCAACAACTTATCAAAGGAGCCATTTTAAAATGCACAAAGACGCGACATTTTATCCTATTTCATTTAAGATGTGTGGGGTCATTTTGGCATTCTCTGTCAAAACGTTCACAAGCTGACAAGCTTTGGTATTTCCTTCAAGGAGCCTGGAGAACTATTCCTGAAGGCTATTTAAAGAAAGGACATTGCTTGTAAAAGAGGGTTCAAGTTGTGATTGAGAATACAGTAGCTAAATAAGAAAGCTAAATAAAAGCTAAATATTGACCTTCCGGCTCATTAGAATTGCACAAACTTTTTTTTTCCCTCATACATATGCGTGTTTTAACAACTGCTTCATGTATTTTCTCTTTATCTGGAAATATCTAAAAAAAATTAAGGCTGGCTGAAAATTTTTGCACATCATTTATCTCTTTTTAATTAGCCTTCATATGCTTACTGGTCGTCCAGGTAAACCCAATTCTCCTTTGATGCCCGACGGCCCCATTGGCCCCTGTTTGTAAAGAGGAGAGCAAATGATTGGATTTCTCAACACATTCAATCGTTGAAACATCCATAGCAGTGAGCAGGATTTCATTTAATGACATTTGAAAATCTGAAAGGTTGTTTTTGACTTACCGGTATTCCAGGAGCTCCAGGAACACCGTTGTCTCCCTGCCAACAGAGAGAAGATAATGACACAATTATATCCACATAAACTATACTTTTAGGGAATAGGGGTTGGGGGAGTGAAGCAGAAATATCACCTTGACTCCTTTGGGCCCCATTGGTCTATCCAGGCCTGACATCATGGCTCCATCAGCTGCAATGAGCAATCCCGGCTCACCCTTTTCACCCTGCATGCAAATGCACAACCAGATGCTAAAAATGCCGCACGCATGCAGAAACATGAGCAGAAATTGTGTTTATTTGGCTGGTACAGAACGTGCATGTCTTACCTTCAGACCTGAAGGTCCTCGTAACCCTGGCAACCCGACATCCCCCTTTGGTCCCTGCAAACAATTAAATATGTGAATAAAAATCCTCATAAATATCACGTCCAGCATGGCTGTGCCGTTAACAGTGAAGCCAGAGAGCCAACATGAAGATAATTAGATAAGATTATTTTATTTGTCGGATACTCACAGCAGGTCCCTGAGCTTCAAAAATCCCTGAGAGGTTGAATACACCATCTGTATCATTAAGTAGAAGCTGGGGAGATAAAAGAGGAGTAAAAACAAGCAACATTGAACTTTTTATTCTTATTTTACAGAGCGTCAGAAACAGGCCATTCAATAAACTGATGCTGCTTACATCTTGAAGGTTCAAAATGGTTCCTGGTGGTCCAGGTGGTCCTGGAGGGCCTGGTAGACTTTGACCATCCCGTCCAGCCTCCCCCTGGTAAGACAGATCTACTTTAGCACTTTAACACAAAGAAACTCAGGTTAGTGTCACCTTGTTCCGACAGATTCACCTTTTGTCCAGAATCTCCTTGGTCCCCCTTTGGTCCCTGTAAATGTCCATGAAATAAAGCAGAAATCTATTAACTTGTGATTACTTCAGAGGAACCAAACCATCTCTACCATCTGTTTCGACCACAGGACCAAACCTCACTGTTAAAAGCCAGATAAGATGTGTAGGCTTGTTTATGATCTCTATCCGGCCAACTTTTGACGATAATCAAGATGAAGCAGAATGGAGTAGAAAAATATTGGAGGCTGCTGTGTCTACATAATTGCGGAGCGCAGGCACCGTCAGGAGTTGATGGGTGCATATTGTTTTGCACAAAGAGATGAGGGAAGATAGGGACAGTAAACATCCCATGTTTGCACCCCTAATGCTTCTGTCATAAAATGTTTCCCTGCTGCTCTAATCCAGACGCTGCATGTTTTGCCTGAGAGCTGCAGTCCAGGACATAAAGTAAAAAACAATGGTGTTATTTTATTGTCGATAGAGGAAAAGAAAAAAAGGCCTCACGCTTTATTTCAGCCTGTCAGAGGGTGGGTTTTTAACCAACAGCTGTTGGATATTTCCATAACCTCAGGTTGACTAAAGTCTAAAGACTCAAATTTAATGAACAGGACACTATTATCAACTTTGTGTTGGGTAAAAATAAGTTAATTGAATCGTGTGGGTCAGGGTTTGAAATCATATTGAAAAGTAGTTGAGATCCTTATGAAACTGACCTCGGCCCCTCTTAATCCGTCCAGTCCGGGAATTCCTTGTGGTCCCCTGACACCCGGTTCCCCCTGCAGAAACACATCAGGAAATGTAGCCTGCATGAATCAAAAATAAAACCAAACGACCTGGCACAGACAGTGCAGAAACAGACCTTGTAATAAATAACATAAAGGTCTGTGCTATTTTGAATTGTAAGCTTCCTCTCTTTGGAAACATGAAATCAATTCAGATCCAGTGAGAGGGACACCATCTCCCCCCTCTGTATCAGCACCCCGCCAAAGGCTGGCATCTCTTTTTAACATGGCGCCTTTGAGTAAACCACCGTTTGAAGGCTGAGGACTTAAGAGGCATGTTTGATTTATGCTGAGATGTCCTCAGCATGCTAAGAAATAAGCAGAAGAGACAGAAAGCAATAGCAGACTCACCTTTTGGCCCAGCTGTCCTGGGGGGCCATCTAAACCATCTTTACCCTGTGAAAAGCATGAAAAGGAAAGAATAAAGAGAACAATCTCGGAAATGGTGTAGCTATGTGTAGGATGAAGTGCTGCTCTGAACATGTGTGCCAGTCCGGAAGCATTCCAAGCCGACCAAAGGCAGAATACCAACATATCATCGCAGGAACTTTGCAGAAGAGACATATGCAGCTTACCTTGGGTCCTTGAGGTCCAGGAATTCCCGGAGGACCCTATGAAAACATTCCAACTTATCATCTGAGTTAAGAAAAACCAAACCAAATCAAACCAAATGAGGATATGAACCACTCAAACTGAACCACACACGTACCTGTTGACCTCTGAATGATGTGACATCAATACCAGCCAGCATCCCAGATCCTTCCAGGTCCTCAAAAGAGGAAAAAGAAGCAAGCGTCAGGGTACAAAAGCACACAAAAATACCTTGTTTATCTTCTCTAACAAACTAATCTAATTCTTCCCAAACTGTTTTGGAACCCAGCCTACAAGAGGCAGTTGAACCCAATGCCTTTGTGTTGTGGCTCAGAGGCTTATCTGTTGGGAGGAAGTTGTAGTTACTGGACCAATTCTAAAGAAATGTAGTGTCCAAAACACTGAAGAAAAACAAGCTACTATTGTTGATGGGAAGTAATCAAATGTATTTAACTTGGTGTGTGAGCTTGGCACAAGTTCAACCCAGTGGTTCAGCCCAGTGGTGCTGCACCGAAACTTGTCCTACCTCAAACAAGGGGGCAAATCCTCTTCCTATGGTTCCTGGGGGCCCAGGAGGGCCTGGAGGACCCCTGGGACCTGGATGCCCCTCGGGGCCTGTTGTTCCTGGTATCCCTGGAAACCCTGGTGGACCCTGATCACCCTGAAAGAGACCAATTAAAAATGGTAATTAAGTAATATTGACAGAAACATGTCAAACGTAAATACAATAGAAACAATAAGGGCTCATTAGGTAGCGAACAGGTCCTACCTTCGGTCCAGGTTGCCCACTCGGACCAGATTCTCCCTATTAACAAACAAATTAAATACAATCAGACTATATTAGCTGCAGTGTTGACTCAGGGCAGGCTGTTGCTTCCCGTTAGCATTAAAAGCAGTGCAGCTTTTGCAACACAGGCTTGTTTACACTCGCGCGCTCATTAAGAGCGTGGCTCTTTGTGTAAAGTGGTTCCTTAGTCTGACTGTAATTATTTCTGCTAACAAAGCGCAGGGAGTGTGCACAAAGGAAACCACAGCGGGTTCGAGCAGACGGCAGCGTGGCAGAAATCACACACGTGCCGGAGTCGAGCAACAGCCTTTGTGATGTGGATTCACATTTTTCTGATTTCTGACTTCACCTTGTCTCCTTTCTCCCCAGCAGGCCCCGGATCGCCATCTTTTCCACTGACTCCCTGCAAGAATGGAAACAATGGATTCAATACCAAGAATATTTCCATCTATGAGAAGTGGATAATAGGCAGAGGTAAGCAATGTGAAAAAGGAAAAAAACCCTTTAAGTTCTTAAGCTTTGCATATCAGAAAATAATAAAAATGAGTTAAGTATGGCCTCAGTGAGCAACAGTTCATGACAAATTGAACTGTGTGTTTATTATCAAGAGAAACAGCTTGCGGGACCACCTTTTGCAGCCATATTTGTTTTCTGCATGATTCTATCGGCTGCTCTGAGCTGTCTGTGTTTGGTTTCTGTACATTTCTGAAGCCTAAACAAATTAATCATACCCGGTTAGTCTTTTAGTCTTTTTCTGACTAAAATATTGTGACCTTTGACCTTGTACCTGCTAATTGAGAACTGTAGAGTTTGAGATGTAGCTGTTGGGATAAGATCTGATATAGACCAGATGATTCTTTTTGCTTTCATTTATGAATTTCCCCACTGCGGAGTACTCTAATTACTGTAATTATAAAGTATTCTAATTATTATTTTATCATCATAATCCTCAAATGTACTAAAAACCAGAAAACTGAAAGTGAGTATATTTTCTGACAAAACCCGCGGTGAAGACATCTGTTAAAACGCTGTAAATTCAGTTGTGAGTGGCCCATCCAAACAGTTAGTAAAAGCCTTGCAAATTTTCCAAGAGAAAAGACACATTTCCCCAAATAGATGCTGCGACTGAAACATATCCTTGTTGTTCATTACTGTAGTTCCTGCCAATAAGCTGCTAGAACGAGTACACGGCCCATAACGATGTGGGGAGGCTTAAGATTTAAAGATGCATCCAAAGACATAAGTGTATAAGTGCTTTTTTACTTCAGTTAATGTGTGCCCACATTTCCAAAAATGGCCTCACTCCCTTTACAGCTGCTTAATATTTTACAAGCTGAGAAGCAAGGGATAGCAGGTGAGCAGCAAATGAACAAGAGGAGTTTCCTACAGTTTGGGGAAATACTGCTTTTTCTTCCCCCTTGATTCAGAGGGGACTGATGATACCTGTCCTGAACCTGACCCAGAACCAGAGCCACTAAACCAATCTTCAATCACCTGAAAACAGAGCTGAGATCAGAACGGGAAAAGGACTGACTCATATAATCAAATGTCAAAGAGGGGTCACAGGAAATCTTTCATGGTGCATCATGTTTGCATCAGCTGTGTGAGTCTCACATCCCATTATTTATCTAAACTTCTAACTATTACTGAGATAACAAGTTAATGAACCACGCCAGGTTCTTTTTAATGCTAACATACAGCTGTATCTATGATCTGGTTTTCTATTTTTGTGATTTTTTCCATCTTTCAAATGGACTTTCATGTAATTTCCCTTAATGATGCCTTTATTATCACCATTCAAGATGGTGAAAATGTGCCTGTTAGCAAAAAAGAATGAAAGAATGACAACTCACAGGCAGTCCAGGTTCACCTTTCTCTCCAGCCTTTCCATCTCTCCCAGGAGCGCCGGTTGGCCCAGGCAGGACACCTTCCGACGGGGTTCCCGGGGGCCCTGGTATTCCCGGGGGACCTGGAGGCCCCGGAGGACCCTAATACACACACACATGGTTTTATTTGACACCACAGGTCAGGAGGGACCAGTAGAGTCAACGGTTAAGTTCACTTACCCGAATCATCTCATCGTCACTGTCAAAGCCTTCAAATCCAGACCCCTCCTGATAAGCACACACCATGCGTCCAATCAGTTTTGTTCTGAATTAAGACCTTTCAGGTCTGAACTAGGACTAAAATCAGAGGTTCTGGTGTTTTATATAATTAACAACCAACCAGGATCATGGGTGACTTGCTAAGGCGACCAGGAGGGCCAGGAGGGCCCGGGGGACCAGGCAGTCCAAGTCCATGATCACCCTGAGAAAGATATTGATTATCATTTACACTTTATCATAATGCTTTACCGATAATATTATTTTGATATTCACTTGCCCTATACAAAGTCCTTGCCCTTCCCTTTATTACTATTTATGACCCCATTGCACATAACCCCCATGGTTACTGCAATTTGTACTTTACAGTAAATTAACATGAAACCTGTCATTGTAAAAGTGAAACATTAACCTTTTCGCCCTTTGGACCAGGTTCTCCTTGTAGTCCTGGAAATCCCGTTGCACCCTGGAAAAAAATGATCACAGCTGGTCTTAATTTCATATCAGACGTGAGATGTAACACAAAAACACAGATTAAGTTGTAATAGAGGTGCGGAGACTGTGATCAAACCACACTGTGGTGGCATGTGTCAGTAGATCTGAAAAATCTACAAAACTGAAAGGATTTTACTCACCGGGAGGCCCGTTTCACCTTTACTTCCCTGGAGAATAGACACAAGTAGAAAACCAATCAATCACTATGTAGTCTGACCTGTGAGCTTGATAGATAGCAAACCGTTGCTCTAAAGAGCTCTAAAATACATTTACAGGCTCTAAAATTTAACTCACAGGTTTTCCATCTTCACCAGGCTTTCCAGGGGGCCCTGGGGGTCCTAGTGGACCTTGTGGACCTTGTGGTCCAGGGACTCCTCCCTCTCCAGACGATCCTCCTGGAGGGCCGGGGGGTCCTGTAGGACCAGCTGGACCGGGCTCGCCTTGCTCACCTTTCTGTCTGGGAGACACCTGAATGGACCAAATAATAAAAAAAAGACTGATGGATTCACACGACACAGCATCCGACATTAGGACGTTTAAAAGGGGACAGAGTGAGTATGTATTAACTGGAACAGAGACTTAATATACAGTCCTTAAAATATCTGAACAGATGAGGCATGAAAAAAGCAGATCTGAACTTACCGTGGCAGGTTTGGAGGTAGGAGCAGCTGTGTGAAGTGATCTCTCTGTAAAAAGATGGAAAATGACCACATTGAAAAACCACCTGGACCATTAGCCTGAGCAGAAGAGAGAAACATGACAGAGTAAAAGCTAAACTGCTTATCAGCAACATCTGCTGGCTGATTTTGGTGCTACAACCGCTTTAAGCATCAGTTCTGTCTTTTGCCACCAATGATGGAGTTTCTAAAAGGAACTTAAAAACAAAATCGATTCTGTACCGGCTGCTGCTGTTGTCCCCATCTCCTGTCCAGATGTCTCTTCAAAGTCTTCGTCGTCACTGAATGAAATTCCACTTGGAGGAGCTTGGACAGGGGAGCTGTATGTGGGATCCAGCTCAGGGAAGGGCTGTAAAGAATGATGAAAAAAATTAAAAAGGTGGCATTTGCAAAAATACATCAATCTACAGCCCACTCAGTTGCTGAGCAGCTAATCTTCCTTTTTTTTCACCACATCATAACTACTTCTGTTCATTTACTATGTTAGTCAAAGGTCATATCTATTATCTATTATTTCTTTGTTTCACAGTTACTTTGTTTTTTTTTACATATGTTTGTTGTTTATTTTTACTTGTGCACATGACAGAAACTGTATTCTATTCTATTATTGTCAATGTAAATACATTGGAAGCACAATTCGACTATTATTTTAAATTAATCAATATAAAATGTGAACCTTCTCTGTCCTTGAAGTTACATAAATTTAAAGGGAAAAAATCTTAGCTGCTTATGTATTTGGTAATTTGGGGAAAAGGCTTAATTTATAACCAAAATCAAGATAAATTGTTGGAGACAGACAAACATACACAAAAACATATATATTTTTTTACAGTAAATAATATTTCCTCTCATTTCAGATCCAAACAACCTCTGAATGGAAACGGTACGCCGCACATTGGATGGATTAATTCAGCAAGACGTGCTGGTCTGATAAAAGGTCTCAAACCCGTGGCTCAGAAATTGCCAATGAAAAGGAATTCTATTTTCAGCCTTTCTGAGGAGGGCTGGAATTTATATGTGGATAAGAGGTGCACTTTTTCTGGTGGGATTAGCACTGGCCCACTCACCCCTTCCCTGCCACCAATCAAAAATCCCTAAGCCACCGCAGGCAGATTCAAATACTTTGACCATGGTGTCAGTGATTGTTTCCAATCTTGAGCCAATCCAGCGGCTCAGGACTGTTTCTTGATAGATTCTGTTTTTGCAAATGAATCATTTTAAATCCAAATTCTGAAAAACTCTTATTGCTGTAGATTTCGATGGGGGCATGGAAGAAGAATAAATTAATCCTTCACAGCGTCAGCAGTGCTGCACAACAACTTATTGGCTGCATTCTTATGACAGAGTAACTATTTATCAGCCAAAGCAATCGTGAACTCCATCTTACCTACAGAAGACGAGTTCTTAAAAACTGCCTCATTGTTTTTACATCATAAAAACATTGTAAAAGTCGCCAGAAAATCATTCACACAAATACTGGAAGCGTTCAGTGTGAGATCAGGTCCCTCATATATGGCTGTCAGATTCACATCTTGATGAATTTGCACACATAATATTAAGGATTCTGATATTTTAGACACAAAAACACAGATGCTGATTTTTTTATCTTCCAGCCAGCATCAATAGTGTGAAAAAGAGGACATGATATGATAATTCATGCATTGAAGCCTGCTGATCAGCAGGTACCATCATACATTCGATTTTTGTCACACATGAAGACACGTTAGGCTCATAGAATGGAACAGAAAAAATACTAATAATTTCCCCAGTGTGGGTAATTATAATTTTTGATTGCTCAAATTGAGATATTGGCAGTGATTTGATATTAGAGAAAATAAGCAAATACAATAAAAAAAGGATTTCAATAATCAGAAAAATCATCACAAAAACCTATAATTGATTATATTTGTGAATAAAACAAAAAACAATCACGAAAAAAGAAAAACAGATAGCCTGGGGTAGATTCATGACGCACAGCCACCACCACAGAGATCCCATCAAGAATATAACTTATTTTTGCGTCTCTCATGTGTAACTTTTAACAAAACTGAATTTGAACTGCTGTTTACCTCTCACAGAGATAAAAACCTGGGAGGGTGCAGCCCAGCCAAGCTTCCTGCTTCACCCGCTCACAACTATCTTCTGATCGAACCGTTGGCAAAAAAATGAAAATGAAAACCTCCCGGTGGAACTATTTCTGTAAGTATATTAGTCTAGCAGTCCTCCCCTGAGCCTGTTCTCTCCGCGCCCCGCTGCATGTCTGTATGGAGAGCACAGAATTGGCAGAGAACAGCTCATATCACCATGTTCCAGTCTCTCCAACAGGCCTGCAGGGATGAGAGCTGTTTTCTTTGGTTGGCGTCCAGCTCAGTTAAAAGGCACAAAAACAGAAGGACAGTGTGGTGTGTTTGTCTGTCTAGATACACACAGCAGTGCAGCTCAGAGTAGACAGAATATGTCCACTTATTTTTAAGTTGTAATGGAGTACGCACACCTCCAAATCCCCCTGTGTTGTGCACCTCATTTTGTTCTGTAATATAAGTCAGCTTATTTTTGCATGGGAGGGCAGAAACATGACCTAGACTTTTTTCCCTCTCACTGGGATGCTCTAGTTGCCTTTGCAGGATGTCATAATGACCAAATGAAGATTGTACAAACCATCAAATGTCACTGCTCAAAACACAGGATGTGACTGATAATGAAGATTTCAGAGTGTGTGCACCTATCTGGTGTGTGCATACACACCATTGTATATTCTCTCTCCTCCACTATCTTCTTCACTTCGTCTGTTCGCTCCAAGTCTCCATATTCATAATCACCGCTCCCATATCCAGAGGCCTGAGGCCAACAGAAAAGGAGACAGAGGGGAGAATCAGTACACAAACAAGGCCAAAAAGATGAGATCTGGAGAGTAAATGCCTTCTGAGATCATGCTGCTAGTGAAAACAGCATATCAGACAATCACTGCTCCAAATATCATCAGATTCAAAGAAGAGCAAAGCACTTCACTGTTGAAGAGAAAAATCAAAGGGTTAAAAGAGACCCATATAGAAACCCAAACATTTTCTCTGAAAATGCCAAACACAAGTTATAAATTATTGCTTGCTGATTGATCAGTTGATTGACCACAGATCATGTTTTTGTGGATTTCCATAAGATTTTGGTTGGAGATTTGATTCCATTCAGCTTCATGTGAGTGATATATTTTCCATAAAAGCAATCAAGTTAACTATAGAAGCTTATATCGATGGCAAATGGGGAACTTTGACCAAACAAACAAACAAACAACAATTTGTTTAGTTGTGGTTGTTCAGCTTGACAGAAGTCAGAAGATGAGGTTTATATTTTCAGACGCAGATATCCTAATACAGCATCTTGATGTTTAAAGGTGATCTAGTTCAGCTCATCTGAATCCGACCTCAGTAAACTCTAATGTTGAAACTGCTTCATATTTTTGACCACATTTAATCCTCCTGTAATCGACCATTTCCACCAACAGAGGGAGTAATAGTTCCAGGCCTCAGAAATAAGAAATGAAAGCAGAAGTTAAAGGTGTGAAAGTAGGTTCTGATGCAGACTCACGTAAGGATCGTCCTCCTCACACTGGTCCTCCGGGGCGGTGGGATCTGACTTCAGCACCAGCTGCTGGATAGAGCCCTGGAGAGGAGGAGGAGAGGAGGAGTGGTGAATGAAAATCAGAGGCAACTTGGAGGACAACTTGATTTATAATTTGCACATACAGACTGGACTCCATCTCTGCATTACAGCAGCCCTAAAACATCCCCGTAAACGCGTAACTTTGCCCAATGATTTGTGCCAGTAAGAGTAAAAATTAAGTGTCAATGCTCAATTTTGAGCAGGTAATAAAGCAGAAACATGACATAAGTACGGTAAAGATCTCAGAACATCAGTCAACTTTAACTTCTTATTATATTGAGCCATACTAGTTAAATATCAAATGTAAGGACTACATCTTATTTCACATGACAAATGAGATATTTATTTGTCATACTTTTAGGTGCTGGGTACGTAAAGTCCCTGAGGAGCTAATTAAGAAACCAATTGTTTTCTGGTTTATAGGATGCACCACAAATTAAATCCAGCTGCAAACTTGGACCATACTGAGGGTGTGTTTGCTAAAAAACTAAAGTCTGATGTCGTAGATATCACAAATATAACAGCATAGACACACAAAACTGCACTGGTCTCTCCAAGCTAAGAGTCAGCAGGCATGCACTTTTATTAGATCAGTTAAAATTTGCTGAGGGCAGTTTAAGCCAAGTTTGTTGATATTATGATCCAGCCAGAAGACAAACACCTGTTTTTAATGTGACAAAGCCCGGCTCGCACGACTTGATGTTGACAAAGAAGAGAGAATAATAGGGAGCAAGAAAGGGACTGACTGGATGAGAGCTGCGACAGGAAGCCAAATCAGAGACATCTGTTTGTGCAGTAAACATCACATCTGAAATAAAGAATGTGCCACGCAGTCTTTTCCACAACTCCCCCCCCCCTCATGTAAAGGCCACCACCGCGTGGAAGGGGGACTATATAGGTAAGCACGTAAAAACTTTTAATGATATACATCTAAACGCTTTGAATCAGATTTTCCTGTCTCAATGACACATTTTCGGTGGCAAACAGCCTGCAAACACACAAAGATGGAGCGATAAAAACAAATCATGAGTCAAATTAGAATCAAAAAGGCCGCTCACACTAAAAAGTGTGGTCAGCAAACTTCTGGGAAGAAGACAGCAACAGTGACCCCAAGAAACATGTTGGTCAAACCAATTAAACTAATCTCTCTAAATCTCCATCCCAAATGCATCATATGGTGTCCAACTAAAAGACAAAATCATGTCAGGTGCAGAACCTTCATTTATAACCATGTGAGAAGACAGAGTCTGTGTTTTAGACAGACCAGATCCCAAATAAGAGGAAACACTGAAAGGCATTTGGATCTATGGGACAGATCAGATTCTATTTGGAGAGCAATGCTCAGCATTTTTAAAATTTTGTTCACCTCCATGAATGTGTCTGAGATCTAATCTAATTCGATGTTTCTCTTATTTGAGTTATTTGTGTGAATATAGCTGCCACATAGTAATTTTCCTTTAAATCAAGAAAGAGACAAATCCGTATAGCTGCTTGGGGCCTGCACCGAGGCTGAATGGTGCAAATGAATAAAAATGCAACGTGTCAAGTCTGAAAGTGAAAGATACTCATCGCCTTAGCAGATGAGAGTATCTAATGTCTGTGAAACAATGTCAACACGCTGAATCCCTGATAAAAAAGCTGGAGCCATGAGAAATGATTATCATTCTCTGCTGACTCGCTGGTAAAATTCTTTGTTCATTGTGTAACTGGTGTGAACATACCAGACGTCCTGCCTACTGGCGAGTTTTCAGTCATTGTTGAGAAGAGATTTTCTCCATGATGCTGTGTTACAACGTATCAGCCACTGGATGCTTCCCAGCTGGGATCAGAGAGCAGGCTGTGTATATTCTGTGGCCTGGGTATTGTCCACAAACTGGCACAGAGGAGCTCTCAAATGTCAGGGATTGCTTAAGGAAAAGGTTAGGCTCTTTTAAGGTACTGCTGAGAGTCTGCATTTACCGGCAGTCTCGGCTTTGAGGGAAGTGTTGTTGCCCAGGTTTTCCCCTCTGGCCAAGTATGCGAGAGCCCTCTCAACTCTCGTAGAGAAACTATGACTCATCATCCATAGAGGGAAGTTTCTTCTTCCTATTAAACATCTCCAACATAGTTATTTCTTGAGAGCTTGAGATGTACTGGCAAAACGACAAGATTCTTCATCTAAATACAGATTGAAAATGTCATTCCCACCATTTTGGAAGCAAATTTACCCATGTGACCCCTTGTGAATTAAAGCGCCTTTAGATTGTGGCAAACCATGCCTCATAAAATACTCAGCAGAAAGACAAACTTTATAGCCGCAAAGTGGTTTAGACTTAAATGTTTTAACATTATGGCCACGGAAACATGCAGCTACTGAATCAGATTGCAGATTTTAAAGTGGGCCACAATTGCATGTGCACCACATGGCTGTCTTTGTGTTTCTATAAAAAGGGGGGAGTCTTACTCAAAAGCAAGCCTCTCTAACTTTGTCCACATCCAAACCTAAAGGATCCAAGCATGCATTCAGATATAACACCTGTGCATTGTAAAATGAATGAAAATGATTATTAAATCACCTAAATCACTCACTGGCATTGTTTATGCTGCAGTCAACAGGAGATGGACAGCTGGTTGTTAGGTCTATAATACTATAATAAAGTGGCAAAAAGTGAGAACACGTACGTCTTCACTTTTTAGACTTGTTTCCCTAACAACACAATAATAGATAATGCACAAAGTAAAGTAAAGGTAAGCTGTGTGAGTCAGAAGGTGGATTCATGGTGCAAACATTCTGATTAACTGCACATATTAAAACGGAGCCCTCAGCAGAACAATACATAAATGAGTTTTTTCTTGTTGATTTCTATGTAATTGCTGCGGGAAATGAAAGCCATTTTTGTGTATATGCACAAGCCAGAATTGATTAACGCTTTGGACCAAACCATAACTGGATAATTAAGAATAGCAAAAAAAACAACAAACACGATTCCTCTCAAATGTCAGAAATTAACGTGCTGCTGAACAACTGAAGTTAATTAAGATTTTACTGGAAAATCCATTTGGTTTTCGGAAAATGTCAAAGGCAAATCTGTGGGGTAAAGTTTTGTCTTGACTCAAACTACACTGAATTTGCTCTGTTCATAGTCCCTTACTGTTTATTCTAAGCCTCCATGGCATTGAAAATATTCTAAATGCAGGCTGAAAAAATGTTTTAATAAACAGGAGAAAATCAATAGAAGTAATATTTTCACAGGAATAACTTTGCTCTAAAAAAATCAGTTAGTTTCTAACCAGAGTCAGACATAAATGCCTCAGTAAACCCACACACTGACTCCTGGGATTTTCGAGTTTCTTTAAAACCCTGCTCAGATTTCTCTTATAAGGTCTTAATGAAAAGCCAAATAACATTTTTATTAGGTGACACAAACCATTTTCCTGAAGACATCTTATGTCCATAAAATGAACTATTCAGTGGAAAATATACAGAGAAGCTTTTTTTAACGCCATGAGCTGATTAGTTCAGAAAAATAAAAGCTGGCATGTTTTCTGATATCAACTCAACTCAACTTTTTGCGTATCAAAAAGTACATTTCAGATACACTTAGATTCAAAATAAGCCCTCACATATAATGAATGTTTCCCTCACTCAAAAGTACTTCCCTCTCATCAGATATCCTTTCAAACTTTTCATTGCAATAATATAGAAAGAAAACAGCAGATCACAGATGATTGGGAGGAAAGCATTCAACTTTTACTGGTTTATTTTCTTTTACAAGATCACCGAGAGCAGAAAGCGTCTCAGCACTTTTCAAAGGCTCTAAACGCACTGGGGCATTTTTAACAAGGGGTTTGGAGCCTCCATTCTTGCGTTCTTACCAGTGATTAAGTCTACTTCTTAATTCTCCAGTTGCTCTCTATGCAAGTCATTCAAGAAGGGAGACTGTCAGACATTTTCCAAGCATGTAAATCACATACAGCTAGTCATTTATGAGCTCTCAGGGGATAAGGCGATGCTCAAACATGTGGAGGTTCATTTATGATCTCCTGTGGAAGTCAGCTAAAGACGACTGTGTTAATCTCTCAAATGTGAAGACTCTTACCACCCAAACATTACATTTATCACTACAAACACTTTTGGAGTAGATAGACTGTAAATTCAGAACAAAAAATATGAAAAACTAGAAGATATTAGGAATGACAATGGTGTGAGAGGAGGCAAACTTGCACATAAAGAAACAAAACAGCCTTCAAACTCACCACAAACCTCGTCAGGCCTGTCCCACCAGCATTCCCCACAAAGATGCCTGAGCTGGCCTCGAATGTCAGAGGCTGCGCGCTCCTGGTGAAGGCAACTTTGTGGTATTCCTCACAGTCCATATAGAGACGCACCTATGGGGGGGTGACGACACCACAAAAAGATTAATGATCAAAAGAACAAGGACAGTCTACATCTCTCAGGGGGCAGATCTGCCTTTCACTTCTATCTGCACCTCAGTGCTCTCTGTCTGCAGATACATTTGTGAGAATTTCCCTTTGGAAGTGCAAAGTTGGGTCGGTTTTAATTAAATTTGCCCGATTGAAGCCAAGAAAAAGTGCGCTTCAAATACTTCTATTTCTCCAGTGAGTAGATTTATCTGCGATTTGCACTTTGTGGTTTAGCCACCCACAGTGCTTCTGCCTGGAACACCCCCCCCCAACTTCCATACAGAGCAAGCAGCAATTTATGTGCCGACCTGGCTAAATGTGCATGTTCAGGATCACCAATAAAATTTGATCTTTCTTTACAAACCAGAAACCACAGCAGACCAAAGACATAAGCAGACTAATGTGTTGCTAAGGGCCCCACAACCACTTGGGGCCCCCTAGAGCTCATATTGTCTTCAAAGGATTCAAAAAGGCTGTATTTTATTATTTTTTTCCTTTCCTTTGCATGCCAAAGATATATTAGCAGATATAATCAAAGATATTCAAGCAGATAAACTAAATTTAATAGATAAAGAGCTGCCGCAGGCCAACTGATCCCCTTTTTTGGGGGGTAAGTCTTCTTCTGCGTCCTTCTTGTTTTTACTACCGGACCTACCTTTGATGTGAAATTATACCTTTTACATAACGCACGCATCATATGTGAACCCAAACAAACCCGTCCACTCACCTCTGCTCCCTGCACAGTCAACGTAAACCTCGCCCATCTTCCTGTCAGGTCTCCCATTTTGAAGGAAGCTGCTTCTTGGGTCCCGCCTTCATTTTCCGGGTCAGTGTAGTACAATATGATTCTCTGGGACCCGTCCTCCACTTCTGACAGCGCCACACCCAACTGCACAATCTGACACGCACAAGAAATGCAAAAAAGCTCTCAGTCCTTTGCAAACATGCATAAAAATCAATACAAAAAGCATGCACTGTTGAGATGGCGCAACGTTAAAATGGAAAGATAACAATAACATCTGAAATAATATTCAATGGCTCACTTTCTGATAGGCGTTTGTGATGGCGAACAGCACGCCGCCATGACGTGTGGTCGGTTTAGCCGTGACCGTGATGGCAAAGTCGTGATAGAAGGGGTCGGGAATGAAGGACTTAGTGAGGCGGCCCACGTTGGCGTCTGGACCGAAGCTGTAGGCTGGGTAGCCCTCGAAGCCGGTGACAAAGGAGACGGAGGGAGGGAGGGGGACGCCGATCAGCTCTGTCAGGTCAAAGGCGCTCTGAGAACCCCGCTCTGCCCAAAAACAAACACAAGAGGTGGAGAGCCTGTTAGTGGAGGGGAACAGAAAGCATTATTTATCTGTTAAAGTCTATCAACAGGCCACTACCATTACCCACACAGAGGTAATTGAGCTGAAAGAGCCATCAAAGGCTAACATGATCAATAGCATATGGAGGCAAAAGGGGGAAACTGAATCTCTGGTACAGAGAGGTAACTTGCACAAAACACGCAACACAAAAATAAAATCAAAATAATGAAAAAGCTCTAAAAAAGTTACTTTTTTGTTTTACATAAACATTCTTTTTAATTCCTTGATTTCACTGAGAAATGTGTGCAAATACTTGAAAGGAAAGTGAAGCAAATGTGTAGAGAAAGCAATCTTCTGATCACTCTGGAGTGGGATCCAGATGTTGTCTTTGTTTAGTTTGGGAGCGGACCTCGCTAATATGTTACATGTAAAGTCCATTTGAAACCCCTAAAAGGCTCATTGTGTGTTTCAGTCAGTTCAGGATTCATGTATCCCTTTAGTTAAAAAAAAATAATTCCAGAACCACCTTAATTGTCCAAATTAGTAGTAGTTCTTGTAATTTTGGAAAGAGCTCAGGGTTACCCTCTTCCTCCTGCTGTTTATCAGTGCTATCTAATCGGCCATTTTCAACTCAATGCATTTGTAATATTTGCAACTAAATAAATCAACAAGCTTTAACAGTTTTGCACAAAATAGTCCTTGGAGTGTTTAGAAGGATCTTGATCAGACTTTAACCCTGTAAGGTGAGGGCTGCACAGAGAGCAGGGGGCCATAGCGGCCTACACTCTTTCGTTTCTCCAGGGCCTCCAAGTACGTTAATCCAGCTGGGTCAACTGGATATGTTGCTGTAAATATGGAAGCGTTCCTCGGTTCAGGAAGCGTGGGTGCTTCGCATTTCACCAGCCACATTATTTCTGAATAAATGCGCTCCTGTTCCCTATAAGCTCTAGCAGAATCATACGGCAGACGGTGAGGATTTGATCTGTTCCAAACTCCCACACGTCTGTCCTCTGGCATTTTCTTTAAAAGTTTGACAACTTTTTGAATAATCTCCAAAAAAGTTTGCCAGCAGACTGAGAAGGGGCTTCCATCTGTCAAATACCCCCCACCCGTGTCATCATTCTGTAAACGTACTGCCATGGCTGGATTCATATTCGCTTAATTCTTTGAAAACTTCCTGGCAGCCGTGCACAATTCCTGTTCTTCAGGGTGCCAGGATGTTTGTGAGGGGATCATCAGGCACAAACAAACACACAGGCACACAAACGCTTGCCCACGTCAACAAACACTTTCTCCTTTTCCTCTCACAAACGCACACGAGCCTCCTCCCCACCTGGTTCCCCTTAATGGGGAGATCCCTGGAACAATGCTCTGTTCTTTCTGCGCGTATGGGCAGCGGGTTGCAGAGCTTCGGGCATCTGGAAGGCATTAAACCATGCGAATACACACACACGCCGCGCAGTGGCAGCTCCCGCAAATTAGACTCACCACGTGGCGCGTGTTTGTGTGATGGGGCGACAAAGTCAAGGGAAATAATGGCGTGGCGAAAAAGAAGCAGACTTATCCACAGAGGGACTTCAAATGAGAGCTCAGTGTACATCGATGTGTGTGTGTGTGCAAGGCCGGTGAGATTACTAACAGGCGTGAAGGAACACTCTGGGGCTGTAATTGGATCGAAACCTCTGCAGATTGCGGCAAACACAAACAATTGTGGCGCGCACCGTGTAGCCTTCACTGCAGATCAATGATGCGCCTTCAGTGCGTGATCGTGAGCAGCTGGTTCTGCTGAAACACACAACCGGGGAGCCAAGGAAATCTGAAAGTGCATGCATCAACACAAGCTTTTGTATGAAGGCTTTGTGTAAAAAATCTGGAAGTCGATACAAAATAGGTAGAATTAATAAAAAATAAAAAATACATAAAGGTTGTGATTCAATTTTCATCAACTTGTCTGGAAACTAGAACCAAATCCAAATGGACCTGCCCTCCTATAATGAAGCGTTTACAGCCAAATCCAACGAAAGCTAAAGCAAAATATTTCCTAAGTACTCTTTGACCCATTTTTTCTGATTCCAAAAACAACGTCCTGGAATCAGAAGTTGGTGACTGGCTTTGGGCCGTTTTGACTTGAGCTTCGCTCCATATCTTCGCAGTGCTGCCAAAATTCTCACTGCTCCGCCTGCCATTTCTCTCCATCTAAAGTGTGACTTCACTGCAGATGTTCCACTTGTAGGTCGGTGGCTTAACAGCTGGACTGATCACCGTGGAGACGTGCATTCAAGGTCTTTGTTCACACAGGTTCCCACGATCCATTCGATTAAAACGTTAGAAACACCGGAGTCTGTCAACTTTGATGCAAAATCAAAAAATCCGATCATAATGAAGGTATTTGGCTTTATTAATACTTACAACAATCTTGATATTAACAATGGAAACAATGAAAATATAGCAAAAGATACTCTGAGTCTCATCCGTGAGAATCCTGAGATTAATTCATGTCAGGGTGTGACTCAGTTTTGGCTCACTTTAACGCCATCTGCTCTACTAGAGGCCTTAAAACAATGGGAATACTCTGACAATACAGGACACAACCTCTAGCTAAGTTCACTGTAATAACTACAAGTTGCATGAATTAAATAGAATATGCTGCCATGTGATTAAGTCATATACTGGCTTTGGAAAGGTGAACTCCCTTTTCTTGAGAAATAGGAGGACTGATGGACCCTTCACTAGTGCTGTAATAATGTAAATAAAGAGTCAATAGAGGTTATTCCAGCATGTGTGTTAGATTATCACCATGGCAGCATGATAAATACCTGCAGTGTTACACAAAAATAACAAGTAAGGGGAGGAATATAAATACTGCAGATACACACAGCTACAATTTTAAATTAAGACAAAAAAAGCAAATATTTTTGAAAAAGTTATTTCTTTTATGCATGAAATGACTTTTCTTTTTTAGATTGTTTGTGTATTATTTTCAGTGTGATGCATTTGTTTCCATTTTGTTCTTTTTTTCCTCTTCTCTTTCCTCCCCTTTGGTCCTGAGCCATTCTGGTCTGAAGGAGAAGGTTTAAGAACACTGATGGAGATTTAAACCCCTCTGTCACTGTGATTGCATCACTTCCTCCTATGGCTCATTCCCACCACCCACCATGCAGTGAACATGTATGATAAAGGCTCTCCTTGTCATGAAAATAAAAACAGTGTTGGACATAAAAACTGAAATACTTATCTCATTGTGTCTGATGTTGTGCCAATTTTCTACTCAGAAGGCTGGGAAAGCATTGTTAAACCTTTTCTGTTTATGAGCCAAAACACAGATGATCCAGTTTAATCTTGTAAATGTTATTCGACACCTAATTATAACTGACAACCACATGTTCTCCTCACATCTGTGCGATGAGGCCTAATAGTAACTGGAATTTCCCTTTTTCTTCTGCTCCACCTCACAGATTCTGCTCCAAACTGGCCGCCTGTGCTTCCGTCAAGACAACAAAAACAGGCCCTTTGATTTAGAGTCACTGTTCTCAGTCCATTTGCACAGAGAGACACAAGGACTTTTAGGTAAACTGCAAAGACCACACAGCCTGTGTATTCAGATTCAAAGTGTGCGAGATCAGGTGAGGCCACAGACCTGCCGTTTAGCACCTAGCTGCTCTGTTAGCTTTAAGCTGAGGTGCAAACTCTGCAGAGGAGGGTGTCAGAGATAAAGGCGGATGTCAGAAACTAAAGCCAATTTCAATAGGTCTGTTATGTTTACATGCAGTAAAAAACAAGGAATGGGTGTATTTATTTGGAGGGATTTGATGTATCTAAGGTTGAATCTGCTCCAGAACTGTTTGGTCAAAAAGGCTGATTCAGCTGAATTAACTCAATATCTTTGTAAGTTAGATATGTCTTTTGGGTTTTGGTGTTTGAGTCCTGGCAGTTTTTTTTTTTCTGAATGGGGTTTGCATCTTCCTCCTGTGTACCACTTTGCATATCTCACCTTTAAATTGCAATGAGTTTTGAGTAAATGGGCATTTTGCAGGAATGAATTTTCCAGTTTTGGAGAGCAAGGTGTAGGTGGCATCTGAACCTTTAACTGAGACCTTTGGGGTCATTGATTGATCCCCCAAAGAAAAAGGGCATCTAATCTGAAACATGAGTGGAAAGTGGAAAGGCACAGCCAAAACTGAAGTCTGTTCCTTTAGTTTTCCTGGTTTTTGGCTGGAGTTTAACACAATATTCTTCCCCTAACCTTCCAGAATGTGCAATATTGTTACATTAGATGACCAGTAAATCAGTAAATTCCTCAAAATGCACACTACCAGTCAGATACCGAAAGAAATTCGTACTTATGCGAACCCTGTCAAACGCACAAAAAAACTCCAAAGTCAGCAGGTTAGCAGAGCTGCTCCATTTCGTCAGCTTTTCAGAGATGTTTGTATCCAAAACAGACAGCCTGTGGTTGATGTTGTCACCATACATGGAGTACATAGTGTTGCAAGCCCCTAACTTCAGCAGGAGAAGCATATGAGCCACACATGATCATGATTTGTGTGGGTCTGAAAGCTGGGTTCACACGAACAATAATCACATTATCCTGCTGGTATTTGCCTGTTTGTACCTCCACTCCCACGCAGCAGAGGGAAACTTTGTTTCTGACCGATAGGAGAGCATCAAGAGCAGCAGGTTTCTTCCTCATACAACTATGTTGTCCTCAGGAATCAGAAACAGTACACAGCAGGTCTTCACATGCTTAGAAACACAAACAGATATGTGAAGCTGTTACAGGGGTTTCCAAACGCACCCCACGGTGCTTTGGTATATCACTCAAACATAAGAGGAGCTTGTTCTCTTTTCGGATATGGCCATGAAATGGTCACGATGGTCAGTCGCTGTAACCTTGGAGAAATAATTTTTGGTCATATTTTCATGCTAAAATTTTGAGAGAGAATTAGCACCGAAAAGCGAGCTCCACCTTTTTCAAGATAAAGCC